AAGTTACATGTTTTAGAATAAAAAGACAAGAGGATTAGGATCCTGGACAAACCACAGAAATCAATGATTGGTCATTAAGGAGCATTCATTACCTCAGTGAAGTTTCAACCTGGCCACTGAAGAACTGGGAACTGAATGTGGATTTGCTCTTTCTTCCCTAACTGATCACAATCAGTCCACAAAGCCACAACCAAGGCTAAGTTAATACCTGGACAATCTGCTTAAGTGCGCCACATCCCAAATAGGCCCAAAAGGCCTACATTCACTGGATGGCCACTGGTTTTCATAATTTAATCAATAATACAAATCCCTGAAATATTAGCTATGTCTTTTTAAGGAGCTCTGTGCTGACGGTACGTATAATCTTAAACAAAGTCATGGCTGCTTCACTCCTATTAGATAGAACATGAGATGTGTTAAATCAGCGAAACTCAGGCTTTTGCATTGATGCTCTGTTGGCTGTGGTGATGAACTCAAAGTTCTGGTAAATCCATTTATGAAGCATTTTTTTTTAAATTTGCATTTCTTCCTTGCTCAGGTTTTTTTCTGCAGTCTTTCATCCTCCAGTATTATCCAAAAAAAAGGAAAAACACTGCAGCAGATTTCCAATTTCAGGTGCAGTTGCCTCTGCTGCAGTGATAAATCAGATGCAGCAGCTGTATCCATTAACTCTGTTCCAATATTTTACGCCTCTGAACAGAAACGCCATAAAATAAGTGGTACATGCACGAGACCAAAGGCGGACGTTTCACTGGTGCTGCTCTCCTTCCACTTTACACATGCAAAACTTAAGTGGAGTTCCATAGTAAATTCAAACAAACTCAATTTCACTGTTTGTTGCATGAAGAAAAATGACTACATTGTCTGACTAAAGGCTTTTTGTGTTCCAGCAGTCAGAAAAGGACAACTTAGCCTAAAGGTTTCTACGTTCTAAGTACATTTTTAACAGTGCGTAGAGTTTAGAATGAATCCTGCACGGTGACATTTCTAAACATAATCTGCTGTCAATCAGTGGAAAAAAAAACTCATGCAGGAATGTTGTATCACCCACAAACTTGTACATGTGCACATGCATCCTCACATGTGCTCGACCTCGATAAACAAACCAAACATGGACTCCGTCGTCAAACTGTGGCTCCACAGTGCTGCTAATAGTAAAACAACAACAAAACGCTAAAACCCCAGAATTCTACACGAGTTAAATTCTATATCATCTGTCTAAATCCAGCCACAGCTATCTTACTGCAGTCTTCAGTGTTGCTCCAGTTTAATATCAGTATCTATCCACCACGCACATGTCCAATTATCCGTCAGGTCGGGTCTTGTCTGTGTTCTGGCCAATGAGAAAGCCTTCATAGTTTAACCAGATGTGCTGTTGAGATTGACATTATGGAGGGGGAAGACCAGATGTGCAGCGAACAGAACGCTGCCAAGTTTGTTTTGATGTTTGGGGTTGTGAAATCATCTCAGAAACAGATGAGAATCTTGTCCAAAGGGACAGTTCATCTTGATGCACAAATACGCATCTGCACAAAGGATGACGAGCGACGAGTTGTGCAGTGCAGCGGCCACGTGACACCATCATGGAGGTCTGCTGGGGAATCAGCTATGTTCATAACAACTTGCTGACAAGTGAACAGATACTCTGGTTACAAATGGACATAACTCGAAAAACAAAGACAAAACAGATGAGTTATTGCAGAAATTCCCCAGAAAAAAGTTTTAAAGATTCCATATAAAGAAACCTACACTGATCATGTACACAACTCTGACACCTGAATGACAAATTACGTCTTTATTGCCTCCAGCCTGAATGTAACTAGTGTTAATAATGAATGTTTTCCTCATCTGTCACCTCCATAGTAGACAACTACATCAGATTATGGCCCTGATTAAACAAACTAACGATGTCTGCTGGTAGGAGGCCGGATTGTGGTTTCCAGTGTGAAGGCTTGTGCAGGTCTAGTAAGTGATAAAAAAGTCAGTCATAAAGATTACAGATTTTTTTTTTAGGGTTTGTTTGTAAAACTATTGATAAGAGGTCAGAGCCTCCAGTTGATTCGCTAGAGAACGTGTTACGCTCCGAACAATATTATGGATCCTCCAACTGCAACAACACAACTACAAAGAAGCCAGCTGGTAGACTTAGTACACTTGAAAAACTGAAATGCTGACTTGGATGCCATCACATGTACTCAATAAATCAATGACAGGAAACATTAAATCAATCAGAGACTGCGTTTTCACCCAAGCCATCAATGATTTAATTAACTCTCTGGGAAAGTTTTACCATTCCACGCAACAAAGGAAGAAGAATCTTGAGTAGTAAATCTGTCATTGTTGTGGCACTAAAGTGTATTAGATGCTGTGCCAGAGGAGAAAGCGTCACAGGCGTGGCAGCAGACATTAAATTGGACCGTTGAATTCAGTTGCCAACCAAGAGCCTACTGCATTCTACAGTCTACAGTTTGGGTGACAGTGAAACACCCAGGAAGAGAAGAATGTTGTGATGTGGTGACAATAGTTAGGTAGACAATAACAGCCTTTTTCTGTGAGGTGTGAGTGCTTCTGATGGGCATTCAGGTACCAGGTGACTTCAGGAGTGACGAGTATTGTAGTTACTTGGTGTAATTTTTCAACAAGCAGGATAGTTCGATACTCTGCTTGTTGAAAAACTACACCAAGTAACTACATTCACCTGTCATTACTGAAATCCCCTGGTACCTGAATGCCCGCCAGTAGCACGAGTTCTATCCACAAATCCACAGATGTCAGAAATAGATGTCATAAGTTTTCTCTGCTGGTGTCGTCATTGTAGCTACTTGTCAGTCAATAAGAGGTTTTCCTTGTCACACGTAGCTACTGTTGTGAAAGGCTGCATTTGAACCCAACCATGATCATCTCCAAGACCTAACCAAGTAGTTTTAATTTCCAAACTTACTTAGTGATTAAAAATGAAACTGAAGTGAAAAAAACAGTGGGGCCAAACCTTGGTCTCCTTGGTGAGAACCCAGTGACTCTCCTACTACAACGCTGCAACCTTGTAATGAGGCTCTTTTTTTAAAAAAAAAAAAAAGTTATTTCTGTGGCCTTTGTGCCTTTATTTATATAGTGCAGTGAGAGAGAGACAGGAAAGTAGGGGAGAAGAATGGGGAGAAGGACGTGTGGGAAAGGGCCATAAGCGGGATTCGAACCCATGACCTCCACATCGGGACTGTAGCCCTGTACATGGGACGCCAGCTCAACCTGGTGAACTACAGCGGCGCCCCCAATGCGGCTCTTTTAAACCAAAAACACTCATATACATTTATCCGTGTTGCATATTGACGCAGGTGGCACCAACACCAAAGAGCACCTTATCTCTGAGATGAGCTTTGAAAAATCTGCAGTATTTGATCCCTGGGTTGGTCACTAACAGCTACAAGAGCACATATCCTTCAGATACTGAAGCGAGCAGCTATCCATGTCACCACGTGACTGCAGCTTCCACAACAAAAATACAGACGTTTTGTGATTTGTAAGTGTTATACACTGAAGAGAATTGTGTGGTATCAGAGTAAACTGTGTAAACTGAGCCTGTTGCTTCACTGGTATTGTTTCATGTGTTTCATTTGTATTCAGCGGATCTCTGCAGGCATATATAGATCTTTAAATGCTAATATTACTGCATTGCACTGGTTTGGAAAAAGGAGTTCAAAGAAAAATGTGCCTAACTACAACTTATCCACAACTGTCTTTTATTTTTCTTATATTTGTACATTTGCAGGGTCTCCAAAATGAAATGCCTAAATAATCCTGCTGCCAGATCTGATGGTTACCAGCTCAGTAGGACAGTATATTTAGAGTGTTTTCGCCACTTTACTTTGCAGTCAGACAGCCTTTCTTGATGGTGAACTGAAACAGTTTCATTGCTCTCCTTAAAGGCCATCAGACTCTGTTGACAAAAATAGTAATTTTATTTGCAGAAGACAAATCCCACCCCTGTCTTAACTGGTTAATTTGTGTTTCTATGAGTCTCGTGGCTTCAAAAAGAGCACAGAAGCACATACAAGCATCTGTTTCCTGTTGGAAAGTACTGTCTGACTAAATATAGCGCACAATTAAACTGATATTGACTTTTAGCCTGGGCCTTTTGTTAGGTGGCTAAAATCCATGTTGCTACTGACCCCGTCCACAGCAGCAGCTCATTGCTTGGCTTTGTGCAGAAGCATCCATGAAGCAGATGCATTCCATCTGCTTTTTGCAAACTGGGAGTGTGCCCAGCGTGAACTAGTTTAAGTAATAAAGTGATTACTGATAGCCATCTCATGCCACCCACTTCAGACAAACCAAACTATGACTTTAACTTGTCCACCTCGAGGCAGTGCACTTTATCTACCAGTAAATCACATGAAGTGGCCTCAAAGAGCTGCATGAAAAACTTGGAAAAGATAGTTGGTTACACTAATGCATGACTAGCCAGTTTATACAGATATATTATTAATATTCAGCTTGAACTTTCCATCTTTATAAATCTCAATTAATGGAATTAGGACTTTTGCAAAACCTTTAGCTGGCTCCTGGATCCTGACACATGCACATGTGTTCATCAGCAGTCACTGTAGTCTTTCTGTTATGGCTGTTGTCTTGTAGAGCTTTTTTTTTCAGAATTTAGCCCGATTTGCCATAAAAGTTGGAGTCTTGAGGAACCTGCCAAATGTAATCCACCACTACATACGGACCCAAAGGTTGCATTAGTCACGCACGCACACACACACGCCCCTAATTCGGTGTCCTAATTCATGTCAGCAGGCTCACTCCGCTGACAGACAGCGGCCGCATGCATGCAGGTCTTTGCGGCAACATGCGCCAAGAGCCATCTGTCCTGTAACAGAAAGAGCGGCGTAGATTATGGTGTCCACAGAGTGAGTGAGTGAGAGAGAGAGAGAGAGAGAGAGAGAGAGAGAGAGAGAGAGAGAGAGAGAGAGCGCATTACGCACACCCTGATCTTCTCCACACAGAACCAGTGTGGCGCACAGACAGGCGGCAGCCCTCAGAAAGTGGGAAGTTTTCGCCAAAGGATTCTGTGTAAAAATTAATCACCTTCATGTCGACTCTGTTGGATACTAACCCGCCGATGCTATGGTTACCTTTATTACGGTAGGAACACCTTTTATTTCATTTCACTTAGTGCTCTTTTTGTCGCTATAAAACTCTTTGGTTCTTGAGTGACAGAGAATGGGCCAAAATGTGCACTGTGTTGAACGGACTGTAAAAGATGACAAGGACTCTTAATGCTGCACTAGAAGTGTGTTTGATTGTTGAAAAGCTTTGGAGTTGCTGGAGTTACAACTGGCACAAATAGCTCTAAAAAGTTTACAAATGGCTCAGTTTGGCACCACAGTCGCTCCTAAAGGTGCGCTGCACCTTAGATTTTGCATAAATAAGGAATTGCGTGATATGTTGACGGGTTTATTTCTTCCTCTAAGCTTGAGCCTCGGCAGGTAAAACTAAACAGAACACCGTGCGTTGCCTGAAGGCAAACCAGCATGGACAAACTCCTTTTACTCGTCTCTCTCTCTCTCTCTCTCTCTCCGTGCGCACAGGTACACAAAAGGGTTGGGTATTTCCAAAGCAAGCTTACGCACACAAACATTCGAGACTGACATGAACTCGGGAGTTGAGCTCTTTTTCAAAGGCGTGTGTGGCGCGTTGGAGGGAGCGGATCTGGCTGAATGCGCACGGGAACGGTGTGGTTCAAGCTTGTGTCTTAGGATTACCCACGCGCTAATTGTGCCTCGGCTCGCGGTTAGTGGGTGTGAAAGCTGATATGTCACAGATGACTCCCAAAACAAAGGCGGACTGTGCGCTGAAGAGGCCTCCCTTTGCGTGTTTGTTTGTGCGTGCATATACATTATAAGACGTGAGGCCGGAGAGGGTGAGCGGCCTCTGTGCGCACAGAGGCCTCTCTCCAACGTCCTTTGTAGCCTTGAACGTTCCCAAAATGTTTCTAAATAATCTAGCATTTTGGAACAAGTGTAATGTTGCCCGTGCCAACGACACTCAGAGCTAAATTTTCTGTTTTACAAACTGTGGAAGTAGATCCGATCAAATAAAACACTAAGTTTTTGATTTTGTTTTCTGTGCAGAGTTTTGGTGTTTGTGTGCGCGCACCACAACTTGAATGTTGAGAGCAGCTGATGGAATTGGCCAAATAGTTCTGTAACTACAAAATTGCCTGTGTGAGCAGTCTGATAACACGGATGGAATTCTGCGTAATGGCCTCGGAGGTGATGCGGTGCAGTTGTGTGATCGGGCATGTGGTCTGGCCAGCTTTGCGTAATGGCGCGCATCAGTGGACGTCTTGAGCCTTTGGTGGAAGCGTTCCTGCTGCTGCTGCTGCTGGAGTCCACTTTGGTGTGTGAGTGCTTGTGCAGGAGTGTGTGCGGGCGCGCAGAGGCCGCTGGAGCAGCTGTTGCAGCGGCGGATTTGACGCAGAGCCTCTCCTGACATGTAGGCACACAGCGGGAGGAGGAAATTAGGGCGCACGGACAAGCTTCTATCCGGTAACTTTCTTCATGGGCACTTGAGTCGATAACGGCCTCCTAGGCATCCTGAGAGAAGCTCACTGCTCCAGCTGTGAGCTGTTGCGTGCATGACATGCAGCTCTCAGCGCAGTGCAGCTGCAAGGGCTCGTTTTAACAGCGTTCATGTTGTGCTTTACTGCAAGAGGAAAAGAAAAATGAGGAGTGAGGGGTGTGAACGGATCATAGGCGGGGCTCATGGCAAGAACATGAAGTACAGCAGATACGGTTAAAACACTGATTATGTTACTATGGAAAGTCCTGTCGTCCTTTTTGGCACCACATTCCAACCTTTTGGTGCCAGCTACCCTCCTCGCTCTGCTCTACTCTGCTCCTCTTGTACCTGTCTTATTTGCTGCCCCAGATTTTCACATGTTATAGGACTTGTCCAGCAACAACAGATGACAGAAATAAACAGCATCAATCTTCAGGAAGTTTAGGAAACAGTTTGGATCCTGGGTTAACTGAGGAAATGTGTCAGGAAAAGTGAGTGGCTGTGAGGAAGGATGACTGCCAACAGCTCAGAAGTCAGAGAGCAAGATGAGTGTAAACTTCATTTCAACATAAATTATTTCAGTTAGTTTAACACTGAACCTCAGAATTATCATCACTGACTCTTGCTGCTCAGTGTCGACAGTGACTGCAGTTGTGCTTTGCAGCTTGTAAAAACGTGTATCTGTCAAGTGGAGATTGTGTTACAAGTGTTCTCAGTCGACTTTCCAGGCTGGTCAGAGGTTTAAATAAAGAAACAGATGCAACCATGTGATGTAAGTTTCACTTGTTCTGCTTTACTGCTCTCCTGCTGATTGATGGAGTTGGATCAGAGCATCAGAGTCAGAGGAAGAGGCGGCCCGGGTGAATCACTGTCACAGATGTTCTATTAACTTCACTTCATGACACTTCCAGAGAAACTGACTTTTAATGCCCTTGAACCCCACCTCTTCTGGAAATCCGTTCACTCAACATGTGACGCTTCACTTTTTTTTGTTTTGTTTTTTTTCACCTGTCTTCATGCTGTCTCGTTTCACATAATTCAATTTATAGATGACATTTTCAGAAATGTTGTAGTAAATCTTTCTTAAGTTGTAAAATCAGTTGATCAGATCACAGAAAATAAACATCAGTCTGAATAATTTACACCATGACAAGCAGAAAATCACACCGGGTAAGATTTCTTTCAGGAATTATTCAGTGGCACAGGCCTGGACTATGAATCGGGTCACTGCTGCCTCAGGCTGCAAAGAGATCCATAAGTCCAACATTTACTGAATGTCAGCTTGATGTGGTTATCTGGCTCACTGACAATTAGTTTGGATTTTTGTACAACTGAACTATAATATGCTGTGGCTCTGTCTAGTGTAGTGACAAGATAAAAATTCTCTTAGATCAGCGGGTTCATATTGTGCTCAGATGGTGCATTTTCCTAAACAAAGTGTAGTTTAATGACTTTTTAAAAGACTGTCACTAATGAAGTATTCCTGCTGCTTCCACTGGACTCAATGGAAACCTAAAGACAACGGGGTCCATACATAAAACTCAGACGGGTGGACGGTGGAGGGGGGCAGCAGACTTTGCTCCAGAACCCTCTAACAGGTTTTTGGGGTCCTGCTCAAAGGCTGTTGCTGGAACTCAGAATTACAACTACAGACAGGAGATTCAAAGTCCTGACTACACCATCATGTTTGATTCGACTAAGATGTCGGATACCCTTTGGTCTGAGGGTCATTTGAATAAGCAGCTGATCCACACATACAGGCTGATGTTGGAGACTTTACCCTCTGTGGCTTCATAGCAGTTATGCTGCATTTAAGTGCATTTTTGAAATCTCATACCTAAATATTATTCTGTCAGACAGAAACTCCTACATTTGAAATGCTTAAAAGTATATAAAAACAGTTGGGTAAGCTACCTAACGACTTCATTTTGTTTGTCTCACAGTGCAAACAGTGTGCTGCACACAGTGATGGTTAGTGGCTTCTACTGATGACAAAAGAGTTTAAAAACTACCATTTCACTGTGTGCACATTCTTATTACAAAGAAAATACTGCACCGGTGGTACTGATATCCTAAAATGGTTTGGAGCACTGGAATCGTGGGGCTTTGAGCTTTCACATGCTATCAAATTGACGATGATGCAATTTAAAACAGAGCAGAATAATATTTACTTGGTCTGTATTCAGACCTGTGAGCGGTAATGGATTCAACCAAGAAACAGGAACAAGAAGAAGATGAAGCCAGAACAAATAAAAAACACAAAGAAAAAGTCTCATGTATTTTCAGTAAATGGACTGAACTTAAATGGTGTCTGTTAACATCAGCTGCACTGCAAAATACATCCTGTAGGGAAAAAAAAGAAATATCTGGCAGCAAATGTTGGCCTGTCTGTCTATTTTAACAAGTAAATTAAAGCTTTTGTCTGTGATTTTAGCAGCTATTATTTGTAACAAAACAGGAACAGTCTGTAAAATAATAATAGTAATTTAATAGATGATTTATCACTTTTTAATTCTTAATTTACATATTTCTTTCTTTCAAATAACTGCAAATATCAGTAAATAACACACCTTTGTGCTGGTTTATATACAGTATAAATGGTTTAATGGCTTATGGTAAATAAAAAAAAACAAAACAGACTTGTGATGTAGAAGTTATCCATAGTTTTGGCCTGTTTTTAACATTCAACATGTACATGAATACCTTTTCTGTGTAGGTGTTATCTGTCTTTTAACAAAAAACAGGGAGACTCTGGAAAATAACAGTAAATTGTTCCAAAATCATCGTTTAAACCAGTTAAGAAATGATTTTGTTTTTTACAGTGTGGGTTCATTAGAGACATTTACAAAGTGTTTCTCATTCATCCATTCACACTAACGGCAGCAGAGCTGCTGTCCGGGGTGCTGCCTGCCATCAGGAGCAACTTGGTGGAGTGTTTTGTCCATTGATGGAGGGAACAGGGATTAATTAACACTTTTTAAATTAGCAGACGACCTGCTCTCCCACCTGAACCACAGCTCTGATGCTACATGTATGAAATTAGGGAGGTTCACTCCTCATCCTTCATGTTTTTATCAATACAAACACTTTTCCACCTCAAACAAGTAGAAAAACTGTGACACAATATTCCAAATTCTTAGTATTCAAGAATTTTTATTGCGCTAATTAAGAAATGTGCTTAAGAGCAGGCGGGTGGAGCTAAACTTTAAAGTGAAGGTGAAGAACATCCACCAGCAGTAGCTTTCTGAGGTCCACACTTAACTCTACAAAGCCCTCGACAATGCTTCTTGTGAATCGTTTCTGTTTTTCAGAATGTTCAAGGGTTTTGTGATTAAAGTCAAGTGGTGCTCGAGTACAAGATTTGTGTCACATGTGGTGTTTGTAAAAGGTCAAACTAGTGGGCAGGTTACTGGGTGTTCTGGCTTTTGAAGTTCATCAAAACCTTATAAATATACTTCATGTGTGATGTGAGTGAACTGCAGACCTCATACCAAAAGGGTGAGAATGTTGGTGAGTTTACCCTCAGCTTTCATTCCCCCCCAAGCTTCCCTCATTTTTCTGTGTGGACCGAGCTGTGCCTG